TTATAAGACTTAAATGTAGAATTAGTACTGTAATATTTCTCACGTATCCGTCACATTGTGCTTATAATTTACACTGGATCAATTACCCACTACCGTAACAACGTACCGATGTTTTTTTTCAGTTGATTTGCTTGAGGATATGCAATTTGTGTAATAACATTCTTTTTGGTAACAGTCACGTGATACTTATAAGGTAGACATGATTAATCACCTAGTACCTACGATCGTTTGAAATCTCAGATGACATTGGCCCTGTTTAGTCAGTTCATGATTAAAGACCTTTATCACTTCGGGCTTTCCCCCACATCAAAATGACACGCCCTGATATAACTAAATTATGTTCAAAGCGGCGTTTAAACACCCTAACACACTCACTACATCAGTAAGACCGCCTCCATGGAAGAGCGTCCGTCCGGAGACACTAAAGACACTAAAAGATGGTACTATCCTGACTCCTACTCGGCATTAAGGTGCTTAAACAAGGACTGGTTGACTCGGAATCTGCGTATCAGTGGCATGGTATCTCAGTTGGCTAGCACTATAAAATCGGTATTAATCCGACCTAATACAAGAACTCATGCATGCATGTTGCTATATAAGTGCAATCTTGGACGCGACGTTAAAATGCTCAATTTTACCTGAAAAGTTGTGAAATCTAGACACCAAAGGCTGGAGCTGCTGGAATATCGCTCGACTTGAAGGGAAAGTTGAAGTAAAAAAAGAGTCTGTGTTTGAGTAGTTGCCTACTCTATGATGTGCACTGCTCCTCAAATGTAACAATACTGAACCGTGGATGATTTACATGAACATTTACGGGTGCTTTTCAGAGTCAGTTTGTAAACTGTTACTTGTGACGGTGGTGATACAAGGGGGTTCAACTGATATCACACACACAACCTAGCTTACACATACACACCCTCCCTTAGACACACACACACTCCCTAGCTAACACACAGCCTCCCTAACACACCCACCCTAGCTAACACACAGCCTCCCTAACACACAGACACACGCCCTAGCTAACACACAGCCTCCCTAACACACACACCCTAGCTAACACACATACGCCCTCCCTAACACACACACCCTAGCTAACACACAGCCTCCCTAACACACCCACCCTAGCTAACACACATACGCCCTCCCTAACACACACACCCTAGCTAACACACAGCCTCCCTAACACACCCACCCTAGCTTACACACATACGCCCTCCCTAACACACACACCCTAGCTAACACACAGCCTCCCTAACACACCCACCCTAGCTAACACACATACGCCCTCCCTAACACACACACCCTAGCTAACACACAGCCTCCCTAACACACACACCCTAGCTAACACACAGCCTCCCTAACACACACACCCTAGCTAACACACATACGCCCTCCCTAACACACACACCCTAGCTAACACACAGCCTCCCTAACACACACACCCTAGCTAACACACATACGCCCTCCCTAACACACACACCCTAGCTAACACACATACGCCCTCCCTAACACACACACCCTAGCTAACACACAGCCTCCCTAACACACCCACCCTAGCTAACACACATACGCCCTCCCTAACACACACACCCTAGCTAACACACATACGCCCTCCCTAACACACACACCCTAGCTAACACACATACGCCCTCCCTAACACACACACCCTAGCTAACACACAGCCTCCCTAACACACCCACCCTAGCTAACACACATACGCCCTCCCTAACACACACACCCTAGCTAACACACATCCTCCCTAACACACCCACCCTAGCTAACACACATACGCCCTCCCTAACACACACGCACCCTAGCTAACACACACACCCTAGCTAACACACACACCCTAGCTAACACACAGCCTCCCTAACACACCCACCCTAGCTAACACACATACGCCCTCCCTAACACACACGCACCCTAGCTAACACACACACCAGTGCTAACACACGCTCACCCCTAAGACACACACACACACACACAGACCCTAGCTAACACACACGCACGCACACACACGCACGCACACGCACACGCACGCACACACACACACACACACACACACACACACACACACACACACACCTGAGCTAACACACACCCTTGCTAACACACACCCTAGCAAATACACACACACACACACACACCATCCCTTTATCTTATCCTTACTTAGTACTCCAACTTCTAAATGCCTCTCAAAGACATGCATCTTATCTCCATGCTTGACGGCCACGTGTTGTCCCCCCCCCCCCCAACAATTCATCATATTGACTGCTGCCGTAAATGGTGCACACAACGTCGAAACTAGGTAATCGTCGCTGGTCACGTGTCATGTGAGTCCCGATTTACTTTGCACTTCATTGAAAGCCGTATTCGTGTCGAAATAAACATCAAAGCAATGTCAGCCCGAGACCTCATGACAGATTTGGCGGTGGATCGGTAATGGTGTGGCGTGGCATCACTATGAATGGCCGAACCCCACTCCATATTGTACAAGGAAGGGTCACTGGACAGTACTATCGGGACAAGATACTTTGTTGTCCGGTTTGCAAGGCGCGTGGCTCGATGTTTTGATTTTCATGTTTCAGGACGTCATACTTCACTACCGGTTGTGATGTACAATTCGATCATCATTATCATACAATTATTACTATAAACTAATGTCTCTCACAAGTTTGGACATTTTAAGTTATTCATTATTTATTACTGAGAATCCCCTGGGCTAAAAAATAGATACATTCAGGTAAATGCTTGGATTCCTCTTCCTGTTGGCGAAGTGCGTATTTTCACCTTGCCAGCAAATGCTGAATCAACCCCCATCTCTAACCCTCCACCCCACGAGGTTAACCGATACCGCGGTGATATAGAGCCCGCGATAATATGGAGACATACTATATATCTGGTAATTGCCAGGAAAGTTCAAATGTTTACCTGTATTTCGATTGCCACTATTTGCTTATTAATCGGTTCCTCGTTCACTGTCTGATGTTTTTTTGTGAAGTCGGGCAGGTTTCTGATGTACAGGTTAGAGTTTGGCTGGTGATTTGACACGTGTGTGACACGCTAGTGATCACAAAAGTAAGTATTTTTGCTTTGTTTTATATAGTCATATTGATAAACGTCTATTGAAGCGAAGACGTATCCGAGTCTTACCGATTAAATCCCATTGGTTCATTATGTAAGCATAGTCATAGTCGATATTGAATGATGGATGATTGACTACGTGCTGCTCACTCTATCGACCACTGATTTGCCTGGTTAAGGTTCGACCACTGTACATGCCGTGTCATAATGAGAGGAGGTGCACACCCAACCAGTCAGTCGGAAGTGTTGGGTAAAAGGGTCCCAGTGTTGGAGTATGATATCTTTCTTGAGTCACAATACAAAGGTTATGAGGGAACCGTGTTCACGTGTCACAGTTGACCAGGGCTCACGGGCTGTTCAGTCGTCAAAGGCGCCGCAGTTCGCAGAGGTGTGGCACCAATGAAGCCTCTGACCTTCAATCCGTGTCACGGATAGTGTTGTCTGGTTTGTCAGCACCAAACCCGGGATCCTGGTTGTCGATACGGTGGTAAACGTCTATCACATACATCACGACTCTCCTCAACACAAATCAAGTTGGGATCACGATAAAAATATTATCCTTTCAAAGCGGTGTGAAAACCCAACTCACTCTCTCAGAGACGAAAACAAGACGAGATTCCTCTCCGCCGACCGTGAGTTGAAGCCACGACTGAGCACCTCTGTACTGACGTACCCGAGTGAAACAGGGGGTTACAGACGCACACGTGCACACGAGCCTTTGTATGAGATTACGGGGAAAACACTCGATGAGGCTTTGAGAATGTGTCATCTGCAGGCTCCACCAAAACAATTGCCATATTCAATTTGAACGTACAAATGTTCGCTGATAACTGTGATCATTGATGATGATGATGATGATGATGATGATGGTGATGAGACACGGATTGGGGACATATTGCTGGTACTGTCGGTTGGGGGATACACAAAGAGACTGTGAGTGCGGGAGGCAGGATGGTGCTGTTGTTGGGGATGTAATCCGGTATTGTTGGCTGGGGATGAAGGCAGGTGCTGTTGGTTTGTGGGATGTAGGCTGGTACTGTAGGTTGGGGGGGTGTAGGCTGATACTGTTCGTTGTAAGATGTACGCTGTTACGGTTGGTTGTAAGATATAGGCTGATACTGTTGTTTGTAGGACGTAGGCTTATACTGTTGGTTGTGGGATATAGGCTCATACTGTTAATTGTAGGATGTAGGCTCATACTGTTGTTTGTAGGATGTAGGCTGATACTGTTGTTTGTGGGATGTAGGCTGATACTGTTGATTGTAAGATGTAGGCTGATACTGTTGGTTGTGGGATGTAGACTGGTACGGTTGGTTGTAGGCTTATACTGTTGGTTGTAGGATGTAGGCTGGTACTGTTGGTTGTAGGATGTAGGCTGGTACTGTTGGTTCTAAGAAGTAGGCTGGTACTGTTGGTTATGGGATGTAGGCTGGTACTGTTGATTGTAGGATGTAGGCTCATACTGTTGTTTGTAGGATGTAGGCTGATACTGTTGGTTTTAAGGTGTACGCCGGTACGGTTGGTTGTAGGATGTAGGATGGTACTGTTTGTTGTAAGATGTAGGCTGGTACTGTTGGTTGTAAGAAGTAGGCTGGTACTGTTGGTTGTCAAAGCAGTCAATGGAACAGGTCTGGCGACGTCGAAATGAACGTCAAACAAATGTCAACCTTGTGAGACCTTATGGCATATATGGAAGGATGGATGGATGGATGGATGGATGGATGGATGGATGGATGGATGGATTGAAAAAGCTGACATCAAGAATTCTTGTAGATATTCGTTTTCTTGTGCGTTAAACAAAACAAATAAATGAATACAATGGCCTGGATGAAAATCGAGAAATTAAAGATCCCTGTCTATCATAACATGCGTACAAGGAAGTGTAACAGACATGTGTCACACATCCATGTTGGCAGTGTATTTTCACCACGGTGAGTGTGAGATGGAGTTGACAGTTCTGTTACTAACACTGGTTCAAATTGTCACTGGAGAGGGTGAGTTCGTTGTAGTCAAAGTCTTAACCAATACATAAATGAATACATCTCGAGTATTAACCCTAGTTGCTGTCTCAGCTCGTCGGGAATGCACGTCAATTGTTCCCCTCACAAAAACACGGGTACATGAGGCATAAATCAGAATAATGAAAAGCATCGGGCATCTTTTATCAGTTGAATCCAGTAGTCATTATGGCCCACAACACTTCATGATTAGGCTAAGCTTGTACATATGTTGCATTCGCTTTAGTAAATTCAAGGGATAGTTACTTTAAGGTTAACGCTGTTTTAAATATTCTGATATTATGTTACCATGAAATATTCTGATATTATGTTACCATGAAATATTCTGATATTATGTTACCATGAAATATTCTGATATTGTGTTACCATGAAATATTCTGATATTATGTTACCATCAAATATTCTGATATTATGTTACAATGAAATATTCTGATATTATGTTATTTAAGTACCCTTAAATTGTTCCAACATGAATGAGATGTACTATCATGTTTTGGCTGTATATTTGTGTTTTCGTGTAAATCATGTGCAATGAAAATATTTACATTTACATATAGTTACAGTGCCATATCGCAAGGGGAACGTATGTAGGATTAGCAGGAAGATTATATATATATATATATCTCATTCTCTCTCTCTCTCTCTCTCTCTCTCTCTGTTTATATATACTAGTATATAATATATAATAAATTAATATATTACAGTAACAATGGATATATCACCAGCAAGAACAACTGCAGGATCCCAGATAGAATTAGTGTGTTGGCAGCATCAGCAAGCTTGGGAGAGTGTTTGGTATCGTAATGGTCAAAATGTCCTCACTGTGAGTAAGACGAGTAGAAATCCCTGCAATGCAGAATGGCATATTGATACTCTGGATAATACGGTGGTCACTTGTCCAGGAAATAGTGGGCATTTCAACCTGCGCTTCCAACAGTCTACGATTGAACTGAGTGGCACAATATGGGACTGCAAGATTGGGGAAAAAGGTAGCAATAGTGTGACCATTGAACTGACGGGGGAACCAAACGGTACGTCCAATGTGATCAATATGAAATTAGTCTTACTGTATTGTGGTAGTATAGCAAAAACCTTGGAAAGTGACCATTTCCGACTATTTGAGAGTGTATCATTTTGGTAAAGGAAATAAAAAGTTGTTGAATTGATATAATACAGAAAAAGGCTTCAATCTGAGGGAACTGAACATGAATCCTTGCCTTACGTTGTATTGCCGATAAATCATTGTGTAAGGTCAGACTTCGAGTTAAACAACCCTTTACACTTTAATAATTTACATTAGATTACACAACACTATTTTTATCATTTTCTAGCTCAACCAAACGCAAATGTCCATATGAAAAACAACGCTCTTCTTTATGGTGATAATATGACCATAATATGTAACGTCAGTGGTGATGTGATGAATAGAAGATAAATAATAGTACAAACTTCACCCCGACATGGTTCCTCCAGTTGTATAAAGACACATGCGGACTTTCTCACTTCCTTGGCCTACCTTAGGTCAGATGATTCACATTGATAATAGTCCTTAGTCTGTCAGCACTAACTCCGCCTCCTCAGATTTCACCAAAGTGGCATACAATGTAGGTCCATGGTCATTGTCACTTATGGATGCTTCCTTAGTTAACGTGTTGGCAAACATACACAAAGTTAACAGCACTTATTTACTCATCAATGGTACATCTGAAATACATTTCAAAATGACATCAAAGCCTCACATTCAGTATCTAACTCGAAATGCATTGAGTACGTGAAATGTAGAAATGTGCCATTACATTGAATGCTTTATTCATTTATGGGAAGCCATGGGCCCATGTACATTTCAGTTGTATACAGTAACACACAAATGAGACAATTGACATTGAAAACAATACTTAGGTATAATATTCGTCTGTGTACGTAGGAACAGAGCTTCCTTTACAAACGTTACTATATTACAAACATATTTGTCATGTTTGCTATTTAAGAGATTGCTGAAGATATAAACACATGGATTGATATAAAATCTAAATGTTTCTGCCTTAATGATGCGTACAAAAGGCAGATATATAGAAAATGAACTTCCTCCTCAATAGAACCATTGTTGTGAATATCCTCTCTTCTGCCCAGATCGGAAAAAAGATAAATAATTGTAAATAGGTCGTAAAACTGTTCATTCCTAAAATTAAATGCAAATGATCTTATAGAAATGAAGCAAATGTCCAGTTACAGCAGGAAACTGTACTAAGTATCCACTATTTTGCTTCAAGTCTCCTTTTGTTTTCAATACACATCTCTGTTTCGGGTTAAGTGTTACAACATGTATATGGTGTTGATAATACAAGGAAGCATGTCACTTACTCTGCAGATCCAACCATCTCATCGACATTCAACTTTCTAGTTCCCGTGAGTGTAAGCGTGGGATGTGTCCTGTTGGCTGGAGCGATGTCTCATCATAACCGTCAGAAAACGCAGTCGTCGGAGGTCGTGTGTGAAAGGTGACATACTTATCACATTTCAAAACAATTCCGTGTTGTTTTCCTGTTTTCTAAGAAATACTTACACTTAGTGCTCGGGAATATATTGATAACATTAAAACTAGGTTTAATACTATTACTGGGCATGTCGACACATAAATACTAAAATCATACAATTTGTAGGAATTCCCAAGTGTTTGTTGAACACACTTCCTCATCTGCTGTTTGCCCTTTATCAAAACTATTATAGGACAACATTTAAACTTGTGTTAACTGAGAGTTTTATCAGTCAACTGTTGTCCACTTCAAAGTAAAAATATATACATTTTCTGTGTATGCATTTGTTTGTCTAATGGCAACGATTGACTGTATATATTTGTATGATTCAGGAACAGCAACACCTAATGACAGGTACAGAAGCTACACTATGTCTTAGATAAATAGAATATTACATGTGTGTCAGACACATAAAATCATTTCCCATTTTAAAGAACCTCTAAACATAAGAATCAATGCATGTATAGATGCAAAAAACGTATTTTTCAGCATGCGTAATGAATTGCAAAATCCATGCTTAGAACTGGAAACACAGAATGATATAAACTATACAGCCATCAATACTAATTTTTGTTTTATTCGAAGCAATGACGAGAACACAAGAAGGAGAGATTTAAGTTTAGGTAAGATCAAGCACTTAAATGTTTAAATGAAATGCGAATACAAGTAATCTGCTGATATTCATTAAACATTTCAACAAACGACACATCGTATGCCTGATTTCTTTTTTAGAATCCTATGATGAATCGTTCGAAGTAAAACCAATGAAGTATAAAGTTCAAATTAGTGTATATGATCTGTAGGATTAGCCTACCTGTGGATCTCTAAAACACTTTGTCTCTTATACATGTTGCAGTTATACAGGAAAACGACCTTTATGAAACATCCAGTGGTAACAATGCCTACGGCGTGACTGTTCCTACTGTCGACGATGCTGTGTCGAGGAGATCTGCATTAGGTTGGTGATCTCATGATCAGTTATGTCAGTACATCACTCCGTTCTCCGAACTCCTTCATTGCTCAATCCCGACTTCATCATTATCAGACCGCCTCCGTGGTCTAATGGTAGAGCGTCCGCCCGGAGAGCGGAAGGTCCGGGGTTCAATCAATCTTTTTTGTATGAAAGGCCATTGGCCCATATACACATACAGATAAACAATATTATTTACAGCTGTACAGCGCATTATATAATTATTTGATAACTAATATGATGCTTGACATGTAATACAGGTATTGTAATAACAGTGGTAATAACCACAGTGACATCAGTAGTAGTATAAAATACAAAAGGAATACAAAAGGAATGGAATGGAAATATGAAGTTTTACGTCGCAAAGGCTTTCAGCCATAGCACGACGTTCAATACAAAAGGATCTATCAGAAATATACTCATCATGTCAAGACAATTTGGCAATTTAAATGTATATGCATTTCTAGTAGAAACAAACAGACAAAAATGAGATGTAGATACTCCTGATCTAGATGCACTCGTAGACTTTGATAGATGTATTGTAATATCTTAGTTAATTTTTTACTAGGGATACCATTAAAAGATAATATTTTGTTCATGGAATAGTTGTTCTTAGTGATATCAGACATATCTTTCAATCTTAAGTTGTCGTAAATTGGACATATAAACAAAAAGTGTAATTCGTTTTCAATATGGTTTTCGCAGAATGGACAAAAACGCATATCCTTAGGAATAGAGGAGAATCGACCCCTGTTGCACATCAAATCATTTAACCCTAGCCTAAGTTTAATAAATGCGTCTCTAATATTTCTCTCTGTTATAGTATGCAGGTAAACCTCTGGTGTTAGACAATATTTAGAGGTTTTAACGACGTCGTAGCGTGTACTGTTATCTAGTGACGACCTCCAATTTTGAGTAAACATATCAATTGCTACCTGCTTAAAAGAGCTAAGAAATACATTTTGTCTCCAACGCTTTGATTAAGCCAAACATATGCATATCTGGGGTTCGATCCCCAGCCGCGTCGTACCAAAAGACGTTAAATGATGGTACTTGTTGTTACCCTGTATGGCGCTCGGCATTAAGGGGCTAAAACAAGGACTGGTCGGCTCGGAGTCAGTATACTGTGTCTGACTGGGGTTAAACTGCGGCATGGTATCTCAGTGTGCTAGCACTATAAATCGGCATCAGTCCGGACTAGTACAAGCAGCCACAAACACACATATACACGTGCAAGCACGTCGCTATATAAGTGCAATAATCTTGGACGCGACGTTAAACCCCATTTCACCTCACCCCACCTCACCTCATCATTATCATGAAATCTTTGTTTAATCCTGTCATATGCGAATTGTTGTGCCTGCATGTAAATATTGATATAGTAGTTCAGTTAATTAATCCACTGAAGGCGCACGAAGCAACACTGAAATGTCATAAGAACGTCACATCACATGCAAACTGATGCCTTAGTTAAAACATTAGCCGCAACAATTAATGTCATTAATGTTCTAGCATAACCTAAATTAGTCTCCCTATAATAATCTTCAAGCGCCATTAGAACAATACAGGTCTTCTTATACTGAGACATATTCACGTCTTCATGTTTTACAAACTTGTAATTGGCCATGACTGTATTTATTTCGAATGTAAATGCACCTCGAGTGACACAAACGATCAGTTCGTCATATGATAAGTCTTCTCTTACATCAACAATAACGTTCATTTACTCCCTATTGATTAGATCAGGTTCGTTACATATCATTGTTTATTATTTCCGATGTCTCCAGTTACATCAACAATAACGTTCATTTACTCCCTATTGATTAGATCAGGTTCGTTACATATCATTGTTTATTATTTCCGATGTCTCCAGTTACATCAGCAATAACGTTCATTTACTCCCTATTGATTAGATCAGGTTCGTTACATATCATTGTTTATTATTTCCGATGTCTCCAGTTGCATCAACAATAACGTTCATTTACTCCCTATTGATTAGATCAGGTTCGTTACATATCATTGTTTATTATTTCCGATGTCTCCAGTTACATTAACACTTATATTTGCTTCGTTATACATAATTTTTAATTTTATCTGAATTCATGATATAAGGGTTGGCGGTGTCCACAAAATGTCAGTAGATGACACAAAATTTTAAATGACTGCTACAAAAAATCCTGGACGTAAATTGTAAATAAATAGATTACGAACGTAGTCACTGGTCACAATACTATCCTCGTGTGCTATATCCATATCATTTCCGACATCACCTTTCCTGGTTCGGTCATGCAGGAGAACGACCATACATTGTTTTACATTATTGAAAATATTGTTTATTTATGAAAGAGACTTTTTCATTGACCTCGTGTGATTTTGGCATGTCGGTAAAGCCGAATCATTCAAGATAAGACACATGCTTTGTTGTGTTGTGTTTCAGTGATGCAAGAGAACCTGATATACGAACAGAGCAATGCACATGAAGCAGGTAGGCTCATTCTACATCCCGATACATCTAAATAAATTAAATAAAGGTTTCTCAATACTACAGCGAGAGTAATCGTTGACAGCAATAATACATTTCCCAGCAATCTTCCAAGATACTCATACCTCAGTACGTGTCACTTACAAAGATTACTGACATATTGGTGTAGAAGTCAGGGGAAGCTAATTGGAGTAGGGCGCTCCGTATAAGACACGGAAATGTTTCATCTGAAAGAAGGATTTTATGTAAGATTCATTGTGGAAATTTGCCCCCAAAATTAGAAACCCTCAGACATCTTCAGAGGATCGAAAATGTCAATAACAATAATGCCATCAAGAGGAAGTCCATTGTGTTGCATCTGGTGATTTCTACACGGACCTCGAGTATGATCTGTCACGTAAAGCTCTCTTGTTGATATAAATGTTACACGTTTTTCACGTGACTAGTTGTCATTTCCCATGCAAACTGATGCCTTAGTTTAAACATTAGCCGCAACTTTCCTATTAATGTTCTATATAACCAAAGTAAGTCTTCCTATAATAATCTGCACACGTATCGGTATACATCTGGTATCTATAACTTTACACTTTGACCTCTTAATTTGTATTTTACTTTTATATCTCTTATCTATTTTTCTGGTCTTAATTTGTATTTTACTTGTGAAGCGTGTCTCATAGGCCGTTTGGCAGGACAGTGCATGCTCCACATGTATAAAAAAAGGTAAAAAACACCCATGTACTGTGAGACACTTTAAAAACATCTTCTTCTTTGTTTTCTTCTTCTCTTTTTGCAATTGTTCATATTATGTTTCAATTACCTGTCACGACTACTATTTCAGTGCAGATAGTGGACTCAGATGATGTCTGCACAGAGGTTAGAAAGACATGAAGATGACACAATGCTTGACACCAAGGTTATCCACAGTGCATCAGAAAACTGGATGTCTTCATGGTACTGTCCGATTATTAAAGCAGCCCATGTGTTTTTAATATGAAATATTTCTTCACGACTGTTGTGTCGCTTGTATATAAACATACTTAGCATGGTCGCCTTGTCAACTTAAATGTCATCTGCTTGAATTGTCCTTGATATATCCCATATAACATATATCCCTATGCTGTTTGTTGACATCACATTTCCACAACAATTCTGTGGAAGTTCAGTGGTGCTGAAATGTGTGGTGTAATCAAATTTGTAAGACATATGACATTAAATCACTTGCCTATCCTTTTATAATACTTGACATATATATATATTCTTGTTTATTAGCTACAACAATTTCTTTTTATTCATAAACAAAATGACATGACCAATGAAGTGAGGGTTACTTCGCTATACACGTACAAACCTAAATTGTCTAATGTGTTACTGATGACATACATTTCGAGGAATCCTCAATGGTCAGTATCACTTATTTCCACAATGGAGCACTTGGTTCTTTGATCAGGTCAGAATGCGAATATGTATATATCCCCTATCGGAAAGCTGTTTGTTGCTGCCACAACCGAATAAAATACAATTATTAATACTTTTATCATTATATTACCATTTTTATATCTGGATAGAATGTACACATTTCCAGATATTATGTTTGAAAATCTTAATAATCTTTGAAAAATGCCCAAAGTGCTACAGATTTGAGTAAGACAGACTTAGGACTTTGACTTGTTTCCACAATGTAAATTATGACAATGAGGCTACCACTGAGGGGCGTGCACATTGCCCAAGACAGTATATGTACATATATACAGCAGAGAGGAGACATTAAGATGATAGAAAATATACACATTCAGTTGTAGGGTTCGAAAAGGCTCGATTTGAGTCCAGATTTAAACACAGTGATACTGGGTGCACGTTTGAGGCTGAAGGGAAGAGATATCCACTGTCAGCCAAGCAGACACACACCCAGTGACACATGCTTCGATGTCGCTATACAAGTGCATTAAACTTGCGCGACGTTAATCCCGATTTCACTTCGCCTCTAACTTTTAACCATGGCATTCATAACATGAAATTAACAAAGATAAGATCGAAACGTAATTACCAAGAAGCCATGTAATTTTCATTCACAAGTGTACAAAACTCTGTAAATAATTATTCTAAGAATTCATGCATATATACTCGGAATAACACAACGTATTTTTTTTTCAAATCATGTCTAAATTAGTACAATGAACGCATATTTAACGTAGGACCGTCAACACATGGACGGTTTGCCAAGACGTATCCGTACGTGCAGGTGAAGCATTTGAATGTAGGGATCAGTTGAAATCAAGCCATATTATATTTACAGGAAGTAGAATACAAACACACAAACCAGGCCTCGTATCAAATTTGTACTACTCTTAATGACATATTCAGGAAAATGCTTGCCGAACAAATGTCACCAATACGTAGTTGTAAAAGAAATATCATGACAAACAAATTGTTTATCAATATCCCGCCGCACACAGCAATAAGATAGCTGTATGATAGCGATCGGTAAATAGTCGAATCTGGATGAGACAATCCAGTGACTCACAGCATGAGCATAGATTAACGCAACTGGGATACGATGACATGCATCAATCAAGGCAGGGAGTCTGACCACCCGATCCCGTTAGTCGCCTCTTGCGACAAGCCTGGGTTGCTGAAAACAAGGTACACAAGTAGGTAACCAAGAACTGCCCTCGGGTCCGACAGTCACCAGAACAGAACACCAGCTTCATAAATCCTATACAGATTGTGGTGGCCGATTACCCCTTCTATTTTCTTTAACAAGTATCACAACAGAACAGGAAGGGAACACGCACCAGAGATCAATTTTACCGAATGCTTACTGCACACTCCCATAACCTTCAAATACAGAATTCATTTGCTGACTCACTCCCACTTTGGTATATTATAATTCCCACCTAAGAAGGAGAGTCACTAATGCATATTATGCTTCAAATTTGACTTGCTACCATATTTTACATGTTTACATATATTTATCGTAATAGTCGAATGTGTGATGCATCATCTGGGAATTCGAGTGACATATGACAAGGGAGAAGGATGTTTATTGCATTTACGAATGCAAGAGTAGACAAACAAACGTCGGGGTAATTACTGCTCCTTTCAGAGTAGTTTTCGGAAACCCTGAAGTAAAACAAAGAACACAAATAACTTCTTAATCTCAGTCGAAAAGCGATGCAGGAAGTTTGTGAGTCTACATTTAATGTGGCATCGGCAATATGTCAGCCGTAAAGCGATGCAGGAAGTGTGTGAGTCTATGTTTAATGTGGCATTGGAAATATGTCAGCCGTAAAGCGATGCAGGAAGTGTGTGAGTCTATACTTAATGTGGCATCGGAAATATGTCAGCCTTAAAGCGATACAGGAAGTGTGTGAGTCTACATTTAATGTGGCATCGGCAATATGCTTTATTCATTTATGGGAAGCCATGGGCCCATGTACATTTCAGTTGTATACAGTAACACACAAATGAGACAATTGACATTGAAAACAATACTTAGGTATAATATTCGTCTGTGTACGTAGGAACAGAGCTTCCTTTACAAACGTTACTATATTACAAACATATTTGTCATGTTTGCTATTTAAGAGATTGCTGAAGATATAAACACATGGATTGATATAAAATCTAAATGTTTCTGCCTTAATGATGCGTACAAAAGGCAGATATATAGAAAATGAACTTCCTCCTCAATAGAACCATTGTTGTGAATATCCTCTCTTCTGCCCAGATCGGAAAAAAGATAAATAATTGTAAATAGGTCGTAAAACTGTTCATTCCTAAAATTAAATGCAAATGATCTTATAGAAATGAAGCAAATGTCCAGTTACAGCAGGAAACTGTACTAAGTATCCACTATTTTGCTTCAAGTCTCCTTTTGTTTTCAATACACATCTCTGTTTCGGGTTAAGTGTTACAACATGTATATGGTGTTGATAATACAAGGAAGCATGTCACTTACTCTGCAGATCCAACCATCTCATCGACATTCAACTTTCTAGTTCCCGTGAGTGTAAGCGTGGGATGTGTCCTGTTGGCTGGAGCGATGTCTCATCATAACACTCAGAAAACGCAGTCGTCGGAGGTCGTGTGTGAAAGGTGACATACTTATCACATTTCAAAACAATTCCGTGTTGTTTTCCTGTTTTCTAAGAAATACTTACACTTAGTGCTCGGGAATATATTGATAACATTAAAACTAGGTTTAATACTATTACTGGGCATGTCGACACATAAATACTAAAATCATACAATTTGTAGGAATTCCCAAGTGTTTGTTGAACACACTTCCTCATCTGCTGTTTGCCCTTTATCAAAACTATTATAGGACAACATTTAAACTTGTGTTAACTGAGAGTTTTATCAGTCAACTGTTGTCCACTTCAAAGTAAAAATATATACATTTTCTGTGTATGCATTTGTTTGTCTAATGGCAACGATTGACTGTATATATTTGTATGATTCAGGAACAGCAACACCTAATGACAGGTACAGAAGCTACACTATGTCTTAGATAAATAGAATATTACATGTGTGTCAGACACATAAAATCATTTCCCATTTTAAAGAACCTCTAAACATAAGAATCAATGCATGTATAGATGCAAAAAACGTATTTTTCAGCATGCGTAATGAATTGCAAAATCCATGCTTAGAACTGGAAACACAGAATGATATAAACTATACAGCCATCAATACTAATTTTTGTTTTATTCGAAGCAATGACGAGAACACAAGAAGGAGAGATTTAAGTTTAGGTAAGATCAAGCACTTAAATGTTTAAATGAAATGCGAATACAAGTAATCTGCTGATATTCATTAAACATTTCAACAAACGACACATCGTATGCCTGATTTCTTTTTTAGAATCCTATGATGAATCGTTCGAAGTAAAACCAATGAAGTATAAAGTTCAAATTAGTGTATATGATCTGTAGGATTAGCCTACCTGTGGATCTCTAAAACACTTTGTCTCTTATACATGTTGCAGTTATACAGGAAAACGACCTTTATGAAACATCCAGTGGTAACAATGCCTACGGCGTGACTGTTCCTACTGTCGACGATGCTGTGTCGAGGAGATCTGCATTAGGTTGGTGATCTCATGATCAGTTATGTCAGTACATCACTCCGTTCTCCGAACTCCTTCATTGCTCAATCCCGACTTCATCATTATCAGACCGCCTCCGTGGTCTAATGGTAGAGCGTCCGCCCGGAGAGCGGAAGGTCCGGGGTTCAATCAATCTTTTTTGTATGAAAGGCCATTGGCCCATATACACATACAGATAAACAATATTATTTACAGCTGTACAGCGCATTATATAATTATTTGATAACTAATATGATGCTTGACATGTAATACAGGTATTGTAATAACAGTGGTAATAACCACAGTGACATCAGTAGTAGTATAAAATACAAAAGGAATACAAAAGGAATGGAATGGAAATATGAAGTTTTACGTCGCAAAGGCTTTCAGCCATAGCACGACGTTCAATACAAAAGGATCTATCAGAAATATACTCATCATGTCAAGACAATTTGGCAATTTAAATGTATATGCATTTCTAGTAGAAACAAACAGACAAAAATGAGATGTAGATACTCCTGATCTAGATGCACTCGTAGACTTTGATAGATGTATTGTAATATCTTAGTTAATTTTTTACTAGGGATACCATTAAAAGATAATATTTTGTTCATGGAATAGTTGTTCTTAGTGATATCAGACATATCTTTCAATCTTAAGTTGTCGTAAATTGGACATATAAACAAAAAGTGTAATTCGTTTTCAATATGGTTTTCGCAGAATGGACAAAAACGCATATCCTTAGGAATAGAGGAGAATCGACCCCTGTTGCACATCAAATCATTTAACCCTAGCCTAAGTTTAATAAATGCGTCTCTAATATTTCTCTCTGTTATAGTATGCAGGTAAACCTCTGGTGTTAGACAATATTTAGAGGTTTTAACGACGTCGTAGCGTGTACTGTTATCTAGTGACGACCTCCAATTTTGAGTAAACATATCAATTGCTACCTGCTTAAAAGAGCTAAGAAATACATTTTGTCTCCAACGCTTTGATTAAGCCAAACATATGCATATCTGGGGTTCGATCCCCAGCCGCGTCGTACCAAAAGACGTTAAATGATGGTACTTGTTGTTACCCTGTATGGCGCTCGGCATTAAGGGGCTAAAACAAGGACTGGTCGGCTCGGAGTCAGTATACTGTGTCTGACTGGGGTTAAACTGCGGCATGGTATCTCAGTGTGCTAGCACTATAAATCGGCATCAGTCCGGACTAGTACAAGCAGCCACAAACACACATATACACGTGCAAGCACGTCGCTATATAAGTGCAATAATCTTGGACGCGACGTTAAACCCCATTTCACCTCACCCCACCTCACCTCATCATTATCATGAAATCTTTGTTTAATCCTGTCATATGCGAATTGTTGTGCCTGCATGTAAATATTGATATAGTAGTTCAGTTAATTAATCCACTGAAGGCGCACGAAGCAACACTGAAATGTCATAAGAACGTCACATCACATGCAAACTGATGCCTTAGTTAAAACATTAGCCGCAACAATTAATGTCATTAATGTTCTAGCATAACCTAAATTAGTCTCCCTATAATAATCTTCAAGCGCCATTAGAACAATACAGGTCTTCTTATACTGAGACATATTCACGTCTTCATGTTTTACAAACTTGTAATTGGCCATGACTGTATTTATTTCGAATGTAAATGCACCTCGAGTGACACAAACGATCAGTTCGTCATATGATAAGTCTTCTCTTACATCAACAATAACGTTCATTTACTCCCTATTGATTAGATCAGGTTCGTTACATATCATTGTTTATTATTTCCGATGTCTCCAGTTACATCAACAATAACGTTCATTTACTCCCTATTGATTAGATCAGGTTCGTTACATATCATTGTTTATTATTTCCGATGTCTCCAGTTACATCAGCAATAACGTTCATTTACTCCCTATTGATTAGATCAGGTTCGTTACATATCATTGTTTATTATTTCCGATGTCTCCAGTTGCATCAACAATAACGTTCATTTACTCCCTATTGATTAGATCAGGTTCGTTACATATCATTGTTTATTATTTCCGATGTCTCCAGTTACATTAACACTTATATTTGCTTCGTTATACATAATTTTTAATTTTATCTGAATTCATGATATAAGGGTTGGCGGTGTCCACAAAATGTCAGTAGATGACACAAAATTTTAAATGACTGCTACAAAAAATCCTGGACGTAAATTGTAAATAAATAGATTACGAACGTAGTCACTGGTCACAATACTATCCTCGTGTGCTATATCCATATCATTTCCGACATCACCTTTCCTGGTTCGGTCATGCAGGAGAACGACCATACATTGTTTTACATTATTGAAAATATTGTTTATTTATGAAAGAGACTTTTTCATTGACCTCGTGTGATTTTGGCATGTCGGTAAAGCCGAATCATTCAAGATAAGACACATGCTTTGTTGTGTTGTGTTTCAGTGATGCAAGAGAACCTGATATACGAACAGAGCAATGCACATGAAGCAGGTAGGCTCATTCTACATCCCGATACATCTAAATAAATTAAATAAAGGTTTCTCAATACTACAGCGAGAGTAATCGTTGACAGCAATAATACATTTCCCAGCAATCTTCCAAGATACTCATACCTCAGTACGTGTCACTTACAAAGATTACTGACATATTGGTGTAGAAGTCAGGGGAAGCTAATTGGAGTAGGGCGCTCCGTATAAGACACGGAAATGTTTCATCTGAAAGAAGGATTTTATGTAAGATTCATTGTGGAAATTTGCCCCCAAAATTAGAAACCCTCAGACATCTTCAGAGGATCGAAAATGTCAATAACAATAATGCCATCAAGAGGAAGTCCATTGTGTTGCATCTGGTGATTTCTACACGGACCTCGAGTATGATCTGTCACGTAAAGCTCTCTTGTTGATATAAATGTTACACGTTTTTCACGTGACTAGTTGTCATTTCCCATGCAAACTGATGCCTTAGTTTAAACATTAGCCGCAACTTTCCTATTAATGTTCTATATAACCAAAGTAAGTCTTCCTATAATAATCTGCACACGTATCGGTATACATCTGGTATCTATAACTTTACACTTTGACCTCTTAATTTGTATTTTACTTTTATATCTCTTATCTATTTTTCTGGTCTTAATTTGTATTTTACTTGTGAAGCGTGTCTCATAGGCCGTTTGGCAGGACAGTGCATGCTCCACATGTATAAAAAAAGGTAAAAAACACCCATGTACTGTGAGACACTTTAAAAACATCTTCTTCTTTGTTTTCTTCTTCTCTTTTTGCAATTGTTCATATTATGTTTCAATTACCTGTCACGACTACTATTTCAGTGCAGATAGTGGACTCAGATGATGTCTGCACAGAGGTTAGAAAGACATGAAGATGACACAATGCTTGACACCAAGGTTATCCACAGTGCATCAGAAAACTGGATGTCTTCATGGTACTGTCCGATTATTAAAGCAGCCCATGTGTTTTTAATATGAAATATTTCTTCACGACTGTTGTGTCGCTTGTATATAAACATACTTAGCATGGTCGCCTTGTCAACTTAAATGTCATCTGCTTGAATTGTCCTTGATATATCCCATATAACATATATCCCTATGCTGTTTGTTGACATCACATTTCCACAACAATTCTGTGGAAGTTCAGTGGTGCTGAAATGTGTGGTGTAATCAAATTTGTAAGACATATGACATTAAATCACTTGCCTATCCTTTTATAATACTTGACATATATATATATTCTTGTTTATTAGCTACAACAATTTCTTTTTATTCATAAACAAAATGACATGACCAATGAAGTGAGGGTTACTTCGCTATACACGTACAAACCTAAATTGTCTAATGTGTTACTGATGACATACATTTCGAGGAATCCTCAATGGTCAGTATCACTTATTTCCACAATGGAGCACTTGGTTCTTTGATCAGGTCAGAATGCGAATATGTATATATCCCCTATCGGAAAGCTGTTTGTTGCTGCCACAACCGAATAAAATACAATTATTAATACTTTTATCATTATATTACCATTTTTATATCTGGATAGAATGTACACATTTCCAGATATTATGTTTGAAAATCTTAATAATCTTTGAAAAATGCCCAAAGTGCTACAGATTTGAGTAAGACAGACTTAGGACTTTGACTTGTTTCCACAATGTAAATTATGACAATGAGGCTACCACTGAGGGGCGTGCACATTGCCCAAGACAGTATATGTACATATATACAGCAGAGAGGAGACATTAAGATGATAGAAAATATACACATTCAGTTGTAGGGTTCGAAAAGGCTCGATTTGAGTCCAGATTTAAACACAGTGATACTGGGTGCACGTTTGAGGCTGAAGGGAAGAGATATCCACTGTCAGCCAAGCAGACACACACCCAGTGACACATGCTTCGATGTCGCTATACAAGTGCATTAAACTTGCGCGACGTTAATCCCGATTTCACTTCGCCTCTAACTTTTAACCATGGCATTCATAACATGAAATTAACAAAGATAAGATCGAAACGTAATTACCAAGAAGCCATGTAATTTTCATTCACAAGTGTACAAAACTCTGTAAATAATTATTCTAAGAATTCATGCATATATACTCGGAATAACACAACGTATTTTTTTTTCAAATCATGTCTAAATTAGTACAATGAACGCATATTTAACGTAGGACCGTCAACACATGGACGGTTTGCCAAGACGTATCCGTACGTGCAGGTGAAGCATTTGAATGTAGGGATCAGTTGAAATCAAGCCATATTATATTTACAGGAAGTAGAATACAAACACACAAACCAGGCCTCGTATCAAATTTGTACTACTCTTAATGACATATTCAGGAAAATGCTTGCCGAACAAATGTCACCAATACGTAGTTGTAAAAGAAATATCATGACAAACAAATTGTTTATCAATATCCCGCCGCACACAGCAATAAGATAGCTGTATGATAGCGATCGGTAAATAGTCGAATCTGGATGAGACAATCCAGTGACTCACAGCATGAGCATAGATTAACGCAACTGGGATACGATGACATGCATCAATCAAGGCAGGGAGTCTGACCACCCGATCCCGTTAGTCGCCTCTTGCGACAAGCCTGGGTTGCTGAAAACAAGGTACACAAGTAGGTAACCAAGAACTGCCCTCGGGTCCGACAGTCACCAGAACAGAACACCAGCTTCATAAATCCTATACAGATTGTGGTGGCCGATTACCCCTTCTATTTTCTTTAACAAGTATCACAACAGAACAGGAAGGGAACACGCACCAGAGATCAATTTTACCGAATGCTTACTGCACACTCCCATAACCTTCAAATACAGAATTCATTTGCTGACTCACTCCCACTTTGGTATATTATAATTCCCACCTAAGAAGGAGAGTCACTAATGCATATTATGCTTCAAATTTGACTTGCTACCATATTTTACATGTTTACATATATTTATCGTAATAGTCGAATGTGTGATGCATCATCTGGGAATTCGAGTGACATATGACAAGGGAGAAGGATGTTTATTGCATTTACGAATGCAAGAGTAGACAAACAAACGTCGGGGTAATTACTGCTCCTTTCAGAGTAGTTTTCGGAAACCCTGAAGTAAAACAAAGAACACAAATAACTTCTTAATCTCAGTCGAAAAGCGATGCAGGAAGTTTGTGAGTCTACATTTAATGTGGCATCGGCAATATGTCAGCCGTAAAGCGATGCAGGAAGTGTGTGAGTCTATGTTTAATGTGGCATTGGAAATATGTCAGCCGTAAAGCGATGCAGGAAGTGTGTGAGTCTATACTTAATGTGGCATCGGAAATATGTCAGCCTTAAAGCGATACAGGAAGTGTGTGAGTCTACATTTAATGTGGCATCGGCAATATGTCAGTCGTAAGGCGATGCAGGAAGTGTGTGAGTCTATATTTAATGTGGCATCGGCAATATTTCAGTCGTAAAGCGATGCAGGAAGTGTGTGAGTCTATATTTAATGTGGCATTGGAAATATGTCAGCCGTAAAGCGATGCAGGAAGTGTGTGAGTCTATACTTAATGTGGCATCGGAAATATGTCAGCCTTAAAGCGATACAGGAAGTGTGTGAGTCTACATTTAATGTGGCATCGGCAATATGTCAGTCGTAAGGCGATGCAGGAAGTGTGTGAGTCTATATTTAATGTGGCATCGGCAATATGTCAGTCGTAAAGCGATGCAGGAAGTGTGTGAGTCTATATTTAATGTGGCATCGACAAATACCTCAGCCTTAAAGCGATGCAGGAAGTGTGTGAGTCTATATCTAATGTGGCATCGGCAATATGTCAGTCGTAAAGCGATGCAGGAAGTGTGTGAGTCTATATTTAATGTGGCATCGGCAATATGTCAGTCGTAAAGCGATGCAGGAAGTATGTGAGTCTATATTTAATGTGGCATCGGCAATATGTCAGTCGTAAAGCGATGCAGGAAGTGTGTGGGTCAATATCTAATGTCGCATCGGCAATATGTCAGCCTTAAAGCGATGCAGGAAGTGTGTGAGTCTATATTTAATGTCGCATCGGCAATATGTCAGCCGTAAAGCGATGCAGGAACTGTGTGAGTCTATATATAATATGGCATCGGCAATATGTCAGCCGTAAAGCGATGCAGGAAGTGTGTGAGTCTATACTTAATGTGGCATCGGAAATATGTCAGCCTTAAAGCGATACAGGAAGTGTGTGAGTCTACATTTAATGTGGCATCGGCAATATGTCAGTCGTAAGGCGATGCAGGAAGTGTGTGAGTCTATATTTAATGTGGCATCGGCAATATGTCAGTCGTAAAGCGATGCAGGAAGTGTGTGAGTCTATATCTAATGTCGCATCGGCAAAACCTCAGCCGTAAAGCGATGCAGGAAGTGTGTGAGTCTATATTTAATGTGGCATCGACAAATACCTCAGCCTTAAAGCGATGCAGGAAGTGTGTGAGTCTATATCTAATGTGGCATCGGCAATATGTCAGTCGTAAAGCGATGCAGGAAGTGTGTGAGTCTATATTTAATGTGGCATCGGCAATATGTCAGTCGTAAAGCGATGCAGGAAGTGTGTGAGTCTATATTTAATGTCGCATCGGCAATATGTCAGTCGTAAAGCGATGCAGGAAGTGTGTGAGTCTATATTTAATGTGGCATCGACAAATACCTCAGCCTTAAAGCGATGCAGGAAGTGTGTGAGTCTATATCTGATATGGCATCGGCAATATGTCAGTCGTAAAGCGATGCAGGAAGTGTGTGAGTCTATATTTAATGTGGCATCGGCAATATGTCAGTCGTAAAGCGATGCAGGAAGTATGTGAGTCTATATTTAATGTGGCATCGGCAATATGTCAGTCGTAAAGCGATGCAGGAAGTGTGTGGGTCAATATCTAATGTCGCATCGGCAATATGTCAGCCGTAAAGCGATGCAGGAAGTGTGTGATTCTATATCTAATGTCGCATCGGCAATATATCAGCCGTAAAGCGATGCAGGAAGTGTGTGAGTCTATTTTTAATGTCGCATCGGCAATATTTCAGCCGTAAAGCGATGCAGGAAGTGTGTGAGTCTATATTTAATGTCGCATCGGCAAAACCTCAGCCGTAAAGCGATGCAGGAAGTGTGTGAGTCTATATTTAATGTGGCATCGACAAATACCTCAGCCTTAAAGCGATGCAGGAAGTGTGTGAGTCTATATTTAATGTCGCATCGGCAAAACCTCAGCCGTAAAGCGATGCAGGAAGTGTGTGAGTCTATATTTAATGTGGCATCGACAAATACCTCAGCCTTAAAGCGATGCAGGAAGTGTGTGAGTCTATATTTAATGTCGCATCGGCAATATGTCAGCCGTAAAGCGATGCAGGAACTGTGTGAGTCTATATATAATATGGCATCGGCAATATGTCAGCCGTAAAGCGATGCAGGAAGTGTGTGAGTCTATACTTAATGTGGCATCGGAAATATGTCAGCCTTAAAGCGATACAGGAAGTGTGTGAGTCTACATTTAATGTGGCATCGGCAATATGTCAGTCGTAAGGCGATGCAGGAAGTGTGTGAGTCTATATTTAATGTGGCATCGGCAATATGTCAGTCGTAAAGCGATGCAGGAAGTGTGTGAGTCTATATTTAATGTCGCATCGGCAAAACCTCAGCCGTAAAGCGATGCAGGAAGTGTGTGAGTCTATATTTAATGTGGCATCGACAAATACCTCAGCCTTAAAGCGATGCAGGAAGTGTGTGAGTCTATATCTAATGTGGCATCGGCAATATGTCAGTCGTAAAGCGATGCAGGAAGTGTGTGAGTCTATATTTAATGTGGCATCGGCAATATGTCAGTCGTAAAGCGATGCAGGAAGTATGTGAGTCTATATTTAATGTGGCATCGGCAATATGTCAGTCGTAAAGCGATGCAGGAAGTGTGTGGGTCAATATCTAATGTCGCATCGGCAATATGTCAGTCGTAAAGCGATGCAGGAAGTGTGTGATTCTATATCTAATGTCCCATCGGCAATATATCAGCCGTAAAGCGATGCAGGAAGTGTGTGAGTCTATTTTTAATGTCGCATCGGCAATATTT